TGGGCAGCCTTGTGGGTATGTGTATCTGTGTGCTGTGTGTGCACATGTGTATTTGTATCTGTGCAGCATGCTGCACGTGCACTTGTGTGCATGTGTGTGTGTATATCTGTGTGCAGCATGCTTCATGTGCTCATGCATGTGGTCCACTGATGGATCAAAATGCTGATTATGTCCAAGGCGCCCTCCTCTCCTCCAGCGAGAGAGGGAGGGCCTGGCTCCTGCCCAGCGGCACAGGCTGTTTCAATCTCCCGGTTCAGGCCAATAGGCAAAACAAGAGGTTGTATCGCTGATTCTTCACAAAGCTGAGTATCTTCCTGTGTTTACTGGCCAGCGTGTGAATTGCCTCTAGGTACTCCTTGCATTTTTTCTGGTTAATCTTTCTTTCTGGGTGGCAGGAACTCCCTATACATTCTGAATGCCACTCCTTTGCTAAAAAGGACTCTGGCTCCCAGGATGTTATGATGTTTACCTAGTTTTATTGGCTTTAGTCTGTACCAGCATCTCAAGCTGAGCCTTGAAAGACCAGTCAGATGGGATGGAGACTTTGGAGGGAGAGCTGGGGCCCAAGGGCAGGAGAGGACAAGCCCCGCCCTCCGGGAGGGAAGCTGAAAGAGTGAGGAGCACGCCTTTGGAGGCCAGGTGGGCTTTGGCCCGATCCAACCAGGTGGGGGAAGAGCAGGCCCCCAATGAGGCTCTGGCAGGTGGTAGGATGTCCCTACTCTCTCATCTGGTTCTGCCTACTTCCCATACTGGCCTTGCCCAGTCCTGTCCAATCATCTTTCTTTGGAAATCTGAAAATCCACCTGATTGATTTGACAAATAAAAGGCTAGAGCTCAGGCAGGTGGAATTACACAGCCTAAGTTCCGCAGCAGGTGAGCAGCTGATTGGACGCAGCTGTCTGTTATCAGCCTCCTCCTCCAGGCAGCTCCCCCCTCTGCCCCCCTCTACCTGCAGCACACCTGAACTGTGCTCCCAGGCTCAGTAGTCGGCTTCACTCCCTGCTCTGATGACAGGTTCTGCGGGCCTTGCAGGGGCAGCTGGGGCTCAGGTCAGGGAGGATCTCTATGTGGTCAGTCAATGAATGCCCCTTCTCAAGCCCTGTCCTCCACCCCTTCTCACTCTGTGATGACCTTGAAAATAGAAGCCATTAGAATAGACTTTACAGACTCACCTTCCACTGTGCCCTCTCCTGCATCCGTGCCCAACACTCTGCCCCCGCAAGAAGAACTGTCCGTGCCCCTGGCTTAGACCTCTCCTCCAGATGTGGCAGGCCTCATCCCTGCTGGCCTCCTCAAGGTCATTGCTCCAACAGGTCTTTCCTCCATAATCAGCATTTTGATCCATCAGTGGACCACATGCATGAGCACATGAAGCATGCTGCACACAGATACACACACACACATGCACACAAGTGCACATGCAGCATGCTGCACAGATACACATACACATGTGCACACACAGCACACAGATATACATGCCCACAAACACAGGGCACATGCACACGTGCCTGCATGCACACATGCACATGTGACACACAAACTGCACATGCACATGCACACACGTGTTAGTTCCACTCCTGCATTCTGTAACCCCTTACCCTCCAGCTCTCCACTTTCCTCTGTTCTCCCCACGCTCTCTCCAGCCCCCCCTCTCCTGAACCCTTCCCAAGAGGCTTCCCTGCATTCCATGACCTTTTGTAAAGGGCCCTGCAACCTACAAGCAGCCAAATCTTCTTGGTCCACTGGTGGCTCTTGTCCCAGCTGACCACTCCCTCCTCCTTGAGACACAGTGGCTTCTAGAAACCCTGGGCCCTTTGGCTTGCCCGGACTCTCCCAGCTCCCCACTCTGCCCTCCTCCCTCGTCTTCCTGACCCCTAGTGCTAGAGGGCCCAGCTCCAACCTTCACTTCTGTCTCCTGGTGTCCTGCTTCCAATGCCCTCTTCCTCTGTGAGCCCCAGATAAGCGTCACCAGCCCAGCTCCTCCCCCAATGTGGCTGACAGGCAACTTCACAAATGCCCACCCCCTGCTCCTCCCATCCTTCCACTTGCTCAGCCTAACCTGCAAGGCATTCTAGACTGTTCTCTCCCTCTCACACCCACCCCAGGTGGTCAGAATCCACACAGAATTCAACTGCTTCTCTCCAGTGACCTTCATACGACGCCAGGGAAAACTTACCCTAACCCGCGTTGGCTGTCCGGAGTCCTCACACTGCCCTGCGGGACCCTTCTGTATTCGTACCCCCAGCCCCGCATCCCACCCCCTCCGGCGCTCTGACCTCACTGAGCACACCTCCCTACCTGGGCTCACACAGATGCCTGCCCTTGTGGGACAAGCTCTCCCAGGAGAGAGGAGAGTGTCTTAGGTCAGGTCCCAGCAGGAGCATAACAGGGTCAAAGGTCAAACCCATATCTAGACTGCCAAGCTAGCGAGAACTCTCTGCCCATGTGGGCATCAGGGCCTGGGCAGGGCAGTCCCCCCCAACTCCCAAGGCCTCGTTAGTCTCCCTAAGGATTGAGCCCTCCACCCCATGCTCCGCCCACTCCCCCACTGCCCCAGCAGCTTTTCAGCCCCCACCCTACCTCCCTGAGGGAAGCTGCTCCTTCATGCCCTAGGCAGCCTCTGAAGCTCACCCTGTACCCACCCCCATACCTGGGCACAGCCCCCACAGCCCCTAAGGACGTGTGGGCAGGGATGTTCACAGCAGCATGGGGAGCCACACACTTGCTGGGCCCAGGTGACAGTTTCCGCCAGTGGGAGATTTCAGCAGTGGTGATGCGTGACCCAGAGCCATGAGCTCCAGAGGATGAGTCCAAAATGACCTTGGGAGGAAAAGGCAAGCCACTGAGAATGAGGGTTGACTGGAGCCATGATGGCAAGTGTGACAACTTCAGCTGCCACCATGGGAAAGACCCAGGGCAGGGACAGGCACAGGGACCTTCAGATTTCTCCACGTTCTTTCTTTTTTAAAAAAATTTTTTTCTTCTTTATTTTTAGAGAGGAAGGGAGAGGGAGAGAGAGAGAAACATCAGTGAGAGAGAACATCAACTGGCGGCCTCCTGCACGCCCCCCACTGGGGATCAAGCATACAACCTGGGCATGTGCCCCGACCAGGAAGGAATCCAACCGGAGATTTCTGTGTGCGTGGGTTGACGCTCAATCACTGAGCCACACTGGCTGGGTTCCATGTTACCTCTTAAACCGGATCACAGCTCCTACTCAATCATTATTTTTTTGTGCCTGAAATAATTCTCTAACTGATTTCCAAACCCCTCTGCCTCTGGGAACTCAGGACAGACGGAAGCTCCTTGCCCTATGTGATTTGCCCCAACGGACATTTGCAGCCTCTCTGCCACTCCCAGACCTTTGCTCTAGCTGTGTCCAGGCCAAGAATGCCTCTCCCCTCCCCAGCTGGTCTTTCTAGGTCCATGTCCACAGCAAGCTTCTAAGCAGTAAGAGAAATGGGGTCAGGTTTGACTTTTAGAAAGAGGTTTTTGGGAACCCCAGCAAGGAGGGCAAATGGAAGGGGGGAGGAGGAGGACATCGAGGGGGCAGAGAGAGAACTACCCTGAGGCCAGCTGCACACTCTGGCACCTATAGCTGATGCCCTTTCACCCTCATCCCGCTGGTAGCCATGGAGATGTTTGAGGTCTCCACTCCAGCCCTTGTCTTCATGGGGGAAAGGGAGCAGGGCAGCTACAGCCTTGAGACACCACCTCCCTATGATGTCTCCCAGGGCCTGGGGGCTCCCAAAGGACAAATGTCAACCCCAGGACCTCCTTTCATTTGGACCCCATCATACTCAGAGACATTCAGAACAGGAAAGGTGGGAGAAACTAGGGAAACTGAAGCTAGAGAGCGGAGGATACTTAAGCAGAAGTGGAGCCCATTGCAGGCCAGTGCTCCCCATGGTCCCCACCCCTGGCTATGAGCTGGTTTGTAATCTGGTGGTTGTCATGGGTCCTAAGAGGTACAGTATGAGCCTGCGAGGCCACACTGCACTGAGGTGACACAGAGCTTTGGGTGAAGGTATATTGTTGGGTCTCATTAGCATGACCTCTGGCGTGCATGTGCCCTGCCCCAAACCTTGGACCCCTTGTGGGGAGGCTGGGACCAATCCACCACAAATGATTGAAGATAACCAGGGGAAGTTCCTGGCTTCCCCCTGGCTGCTCCTTACCTGGAGGCCACCTCGCTGTGAGCCCCTATTTCCTGGCAGGTGAATCAGGGTCATAATTCCCAGCAGTACCAAATGTGAAAATGAAGTGAAATCACATATGCTTAGCACAGAGATTGGCACATAGTAGGCGCCCATAAACTGCTGTCTGCATCCCTTCATCCATTCCCTGGGAGAGTCAGCCTCGAGCGGGGGTTCCAATGCCCCCACCCCAGCCGGGCAGAACGCGGATCAGGGCACTTAGGGGTCACTGCTCCCGCCTTCTGACCCCTCCAGGTACAGATGGTTCCCCCAAGGTCACAAAGGGTCACTGCAAAGGGGACCTGGAATACCACTTGTGGGGTGAGGAGGAAAGTCCGGTCTGGGGACCCAGGGCGTCCAGCGCGCGCCCAGGCTCACCGAGCGTCGGCACTGGGGGACCAGACGCCCTCCTAGGCCCGGCCGCTCGCCGCCCGGAGCCTCCCCTCGCCGCCGCTCGGGTTTCCCGAAGCCCCGCCTCGCCCCCACCCAGCGCCGTTCCCGCCCCCCTACCGCGCCCTCAAGTTTCTCCGAACTTTTCAGCCGGTCCCGCTGGGCGCCCCGCCCCCAGGCTGGTGACGTAACAATGGTGCAGCGCGACGGCCTATGGGCGGCGGAGGGGGCCGGCAGCGCGGGCCAATGGCGGCGGCGGACGGTTCCGCGGTCCTGCCCGGCCGGGGCCGCACTGCGCCGCCCGCCGCCCGCCACCCGCCTGCCTGCCTGCCCGCCCGCCGGCGCCCGCACCGCCGCCCGGCGACCGTACGGCGGCGGCTCAGAGCGCGGCTGCGGCGGGCGCGGCGGCTTCCTCCCCTCTGTCCTTCCGTCCTGGGACCTTTACCTCCGCTCGCACTACCCGCGGAGGGACAACGCGCTCCTGCCTGCAGCGGGGGCGGGGACGCTGGGCTCGCGGCCCCACCGCCCCCGACGGTGAGTCCCCATGCCCAGCTCGCAGCCCCCGCCCCGGGCACTCCCCTCCGGCAGCCGCCCCCTCACACTCCGTGGACACACGCACACGCAGGTGCAGCTGTCGCTATGCCGGCCACCCGCCCGCAAGCACCCTGGCCTCGCCGCCGGCGACCCGGGGTCCACCGTGCTGCCGGGAGGAGCTGGCGGGCGGCCCGGGACGCGCCACCCAGCTCTCGTCAGCCCAACCCCCACTCACCGAGCCGCGGCCGTGACTCAATGCCCAGTGACGTGGGGCGGCCCAACTTTACGTAACCCGCCCGGCGCCCCATGGTGTCCACACAAGGGTACACCTGGGGCGCAGAGGCCCAGGCGTGGGGGGTTGCTGTAGTCATAGTGCCCCCCAAAAGGGCGCTGTGGCTGCAGTCCACCCCCACCGTGCCCATCTCTTTAACTTAGTTATCCGGACCCTTTGTGACCAAGGACTTAGCCGTGAGAGAAAGCAATGAGTACCTTGGACAGGGGCCAAGAGGCCAGGGCTCAGGTTGAAGCTGGGACTTAGAGGGCAAGATCAGACCTCAAGCTGGGCTCCCTGTGGGTTGGGACACCCCCACGTGTGGAATGAGCCCAAAATGGGAGGCAGGAAATCTGGGTTGTAGGCCTGGCTCTACCATGACTTGCTGACTGATCTTTGACAGGCTTGTCCCTTGCTGGAAAATGGGATGACAGTACCTGTTTCCTCTAGTAGTTGGGAAGATCAAGAGAGGTAGTCGATTTGGAGTTTGCAAACTGTGAAGGGTGGTGCACACCAGTCTCTAGGTTGACTTCACCCTCCGGCCTCCTCCCAGGAGCTAGGGGTGTGGCCATCCAGTAAATACCATGTTTGGGTGGAAGGCTAGAGTCCCATCCTCACCCCCCAAATTCACCGTGCTGGGGTTCACAGCCTGCATTCCCCTCTCTTTCAGATGATGAAGCTGAGGCTCAGAGAAGGAAAGTGAGACACGCGTTTGCACAACTAGGTGATCACCGTGTAGGAACCAGGTAGGACTGAATCTAGAGCTCTGCCCTTGTCCTGCCTGGGAGGGGAGGACTCTAGGCTTCCTCACCCGGGGTCAGGGGCTAGAGGACAGGGTCAAGGTTAGGTGGGGCTGGGACAGGGCGGACTGGGCTGCAGAAAGGATTCGGCTTGGCTTGAGATGTGGGCTCAGCTTTCCTTCCCCCTACCGGGCCTTTTCTCTCTTTGGGAGTGGGAGCAGGAACTCTTCCAATGGGGTCCCTGGGCTGGAAGGGTGTGTGAGGTTTCATTGTGGTCTTGACAGTGGGTGGAACTGTGGGGACAGAGGCAGGGAAGGGCATGTCTACTAGAGATGCCAGAGAACGAGATTTCAGGGAGGGAAGTCAGGTACAGCTAGATCAAGGATATGGGCGTGCGGTTGAAGGTCTGGAAGAGAAGGAAGCTATTAACTGGAAGGGCCCGCCTGATGCTGGAGGTAGGTACAGAGTCGGCCCTGTGAGGCGTGTTCAGGAATCCCCACTGAGGCCCTTCGGTTTCTCAGGTTGAGTCCAGCAGTGGGGACAGGAGCCCAGACCTCTCACCATGGTCCCCTCCGGGTGTAGGTGGTTGGCCGCAGAGCCCATGCCGTGAGGCCAGGAGTCACCCCTCTGCCAGCATGCCGTGGGATGCTCAGCGGCCCGGGGGCGGTGCGGACAGTGGGCCTGACGGTGCGAGCGCAGCCCGCTCCCGGGCCCAGAAGCAGTGCCGGAAGTCTTCCTTCGCCTTCTACCAAGCTGTGCGAGACCTGCTACCCGTCTGGCTGCTCGAGGACATGCGCGCCAGCGAGGCTTTCCACTGGGACGAGCGCGGGCGCGCCACTGCCTACTCGCCGTCCGAGGCGCTGCTCTACGCGCTCGTGCACGACCACCAGGCCTATGCGCACTACCTGCTGGCCACGTTCCCAAGGCGCGCGCTCGCGCTGCCCAGCGCCGGCTTCCGTTGCTGCGCCGCACCTGCGCCGCACGTGGCCCTGGCGGTGCGCTATAACCGGGTGGGCATCCTGCGCCGCATCCTGTGCACCATCCGTGACTTTCCGGCCGAGGACCGCGCGCGCCTGCTAGACCGACGTGGCTGCAGCCGTGTTGAGGGTGGCGGCACGTCGCTGCACGTGGCCTGCGAGCTGGCACGCCCGGAGTGCCTCTTCCTGCTGCTTGGCCACGGCGCCTTGCCCGGCCTGCGTGATGGTGGTGGCCTCACGCCGCTTGAGCTGCTGCTGCGTCAGCTGGGCCTCGACTCCGGGGCCACCCCTGCTGCCGCAACGCCCGCTGTACCTGGGGAGCTGCGTCAGCGCCGCCTGCTGCTGCTTGACCTGTTGGTACTGTACACGCCCGCGGATGTCGCCAGCCGGGCCCGTTGCGAGCTGCTGGCTGAACCGCTGCGCTGGCAGCGGCTGCTGGGCGAAGACAAGTTCCAGTGGCTGGCGGGTCTGGCGCCACCCTCGCTCTTTGTGCGCGCCATGCAGGTGCTGGTCACCGCCATCTCGCCCTGCCGCTTCCCCGAGGCCCTGGACGAGCTGCCGCTGCCTCCTTTCCTGCAGCCACTGGACCTCACTGGCAAGAGCTAGCCCACGGGGCACCCTGGGCACTGGATTTTTGGAGAATACTATTTTTCAGAACGTTGTACCTAGCACTTTACATATATTGAACTCTACATTAGAATCTCTGCCTCATCTGTCCCGTGCATGGGGGCTGGGCCGGGCTGGGCCAGGATGGGCAGGTGGGCTCCAAGCTACAGGTTTTCTGAGTCTGGCTGAGCTGCGTGCTCCACCTGTGCAGAGCGGGGTTGAGGAGGCATGTGGCTCCCAAGAGTCAGGCCTTGACATGAGCTCATTGCCCTGCCCGAGGAAGGTGAGGGCCAGCCTTCTACCTCCATCTAGAGCCTCCTGGAAGGTTATCCCAGAGGGAGTGACATCTGAACTGAGCAGAAGGAATCAGGGGCTGTGGACTGACGTGTCCAAGCTGGACCAATAGCGTTGAAAAGGCATGGAGGCCAAGAATAAGCCCTGTGGGGGCTGTGGGAGGCCCTTGGCATAGTCAGCACTAGTACCTTGTAACTCCTCTGTGGCACCAGGACTGGATCCTGAGGGCACAGGAGGGCAGGAGGGCTACTGTGCTGCAGGGGGAGGCACAGCCCAGGCTGGCCCTCCTGGTCCTCCCACACTAGCACCCACCCCTCCTTAGGGGTCACTGTGACTGCCCCACCAAAACTGGTCTACCCAGGCCTGGCTTTGTCCGTGTCATACTTTTTTTCTCCCTGAGGATGAGCAGGCACCTAGCCCTGGGGCTTCTGGCCCCAATTCCCCCCCTCCCCTCCTCAGGTGGGGTTAGATGTGTCTTAGGCCTGCCCTCAGTCTGCCCAGGGTGTGGAGTTCTCTGTGTCCCCTGGCCCAGCCCCCAGTGGGTGTTAGGTGGTGCCCATGGGCGATGGGCTGGCTGCATCACCCAATGAAAAGTCCTCCTGTCCAGCCAGGAGAGCTGTTCTGCAGGAAGATTCTGAAGGTGTAGACTTGCTAGCAGATACATCCCAGCCCTTCAGGAAAAGGGACCCTGGCCAAAAAAGCAGGGTCCATGCCCCAAGGAGCCTTGGCACGAGGGATAACAGCCAGGCTGTACTGCCCAGGAATTCTGCTGGGCCATGAAATTCAACCCATGACTGCATGGGCTGGAAGGCCACAATGTCCTGCCAGGAGCAGAGGGCTAAAGGTGTGCATGATGCAGTGACCAGCCTGGTGAGGGTACCCACTTCCCACCCTGCCCCCAGTGTCCCTGAGGGAGGCACTCCGAGGGGTGAAGAGGCTTTGGGTGGTGGGCCATAGGAGGGAGGGTACGGAAGGGGCCTGGGTAGCAGGAAGGTCTTGCTTGAGGAGGGGGCCTGCTTCTAGCCTGCACCTGCTGCCTACTTAGGGTGACCTGAGACAAATCCCTACACCCCGGGCTTCTGTGTCCCCATGTTTTCAAAGGGTTTTGGATCATCTCCAAGCTATCTGCCCTGAAAAAGATGTGACCCCAGTTCCTGGGAAGTGTGGGGTGGGTGGGTGGGTGCACAGCCCTGTTGAGAAGGAGGGAGGAGGAAGGGTGCACCACCCAGTGGCTGATCCTAGATTCCAAGTGGGAATGAGGGCTTCTCCCCTCCTGCTGTGTGTCCTGGGCCAGTTAAATAGCTTCCCTGAACCTGGCATCAGGAGCCCCTGAGCCCTCTGTGAGGTCCCAGGTTCTCATACCAGGGATGCCACTGTGGGGGAGGGTACATTTCCCATAGAGAGGAAAAGTGGAGAGCAGCAAGTCATGGGCACCTGGCTGGGGACCTGGGTCTGCAGACTTTCTCTCATGTCTCCCCAGCCCCAGCTCTGTCCTCTGTGGGGCTGGCCCAAGGCCCAGGGCTCGGTCCCCTTTCACTTCTCAAGACCTACAGCTGCCCCTTTGGTGACAACCTCCTTTGAGCCCCTTGGGCTGGGGATAGGGTGATGCAGGGGTAGGGGAGCTGCCCTGTCTCAGGGTTCCCTGAAGCCCTGGAAGGGGGACGTCACAAGCATTGTCAGGAAAGCAGGAGGTGACACCTGGACTGGTCTGGGGGTTAGAGACAGGATCCCAGCAGGAGGAATTGTGGGCACCACAGAAGTGGGGAAGGTCAGGGTCCAAGTGGGGTGGTTTGCTTTGGGGTGAGCAGGGAAGTGCACCATCATTCTTTGGGTGATGTTGGGGCCCATCTGAGGATTGCTTGGAGAGTGGGAGGGCAGGAGGCAGGCAGCCAGGGCACTAGCCCCTGCTGTCCTCGCTGTGGGTGGGTGGGACGGGGAGGGGAGGCTACTGCTCAGAGCTGAGGGGAGGCAGAGGGAGCTGAGGCCCGGCCAACATCACAGCCCCGTGACAGCCGAGCCGGGCCCGAGTCCTGGCATGGCTCCCGCTGGGGACTGAAGCCTGGCTGGGTGACACAAAGGACCTAGAGGAAAGGTGTGGGTGGATAAGGGTATCTGGTGGCTGTTGCTGGCCCGGGGGAGGGAGGGCTGGCCCATGTTAGGCTTATCAGTGCCCTGGGCCCTCCAGCCCCAGGAAGGGTAGCAAGCACCGTGGCACCACCCCGTCACCATTATCACCCCAGCCATGAGCATGGAGGACTCCAGTCGGCTAGGCCCAGCCCAGGGGTCCCTTGGCAGACAGCAGCTCAGCTCTTGGCCACTGGCAGGTGATCTTGATGGCTTCTTAAAGGAAATTGCTCCGCCCACAACAGGCTCATTTTTCTCCTGTGAAGTGTGCTGGTTCATTTGCTCAGTTCATTCATTTCTGCAGTCTTTCAAAAGAAAACCTGAATGCAGCCATTACAGGTCACCCCCACGCCCACCCAGGGGCCCAGTGAACCCCGGTTCATTAGGACTCAGAGGCCAGAATGTGTACCCTAGATGTCTGTTGGTATTGTGGCCTCGTGCCCAGAGCCTGAAAGGGACACCGCAGGACATGGTGTGCTACAGGGGTGGCCTGGGGGAGACGGCCAAGAGGGCAGGGGAGGAAAGCCCCGGACTGCCCCTCCTCTGGCCCCAGGCACATGAGCCTGGCCTCACTGCCTCCTTTGCAGGCTAACGTCGTTCCGAGGCTGCCTCAGGTTTTCCTACCTTGATTTCCTTTCCTCCCAATTTCTTCAACTTTCAAATAATGTATTGAGCGGTTTCCTAAGTTACTGCAAATCCTGTTCAGAACCATGCTTCCTGGAAGCCAGGAAGGGGAAACAGCGTAGCCAGGGGAGGCTGCAGTGTCTGGGCCTGTTTCAGGAGAAGCAAATGAGCGACTGACGAAGCCCTGCTTCAGTGATTGGTTTGGGCTACATTTTTTTTTTTTTTTTGGTACATGCCCCTAGCGGGAACCGAACCTGGGACTCTCTGGTCTGCAGGCCGACGCTCCAACCGCTGAGCCAAACCGGCCAGGGCTGGGCTACATTTTAAAATGGAGGTGCAGTTGACCGACTTGGAGGGGTTATGTAACCATCTGATTCAAGGCAGAGGTGAAGAGAGAGATTTGTACCTTTGGTGATTTTAAAAAGGATTTCAGCTTACAGAACTCATGCTCATGGTAGAACCCTTAGACTGTGCAGAGAAGTTGAGGTCAGGGTGTGGCGAGGCCTGGCCCTGGAAATAACAACTGTCCTGCTTGTCACCCACTGTGCGGCTCCCAGTGAAGAGGCTGACTGGCTGCCCACATCCCACCACCCAGACACACACTGTTAGCATTCTGGTATATTTTCTTCCTGTTTTCTCTCTGCGCATATATACATATATTTTTTTCTATACATTTTTTTTTTTACATACATGACATCAGGTCATTTATATTAGTATTTTCAAACTTACTGTAAAAGCATCTCCCTATATTGTAAGTGAATGTGATTGTTTTGGGTTTTTTGTTAATTCTCATCTGAGGATATTTTTTCATTGATTTTTAGACAGTGTGGTAGGGAAAGAGGAAGGGATGGAGAGACATTGATGTAAGACACATCGACTGGTTGCCTCACACAGGACTCGGGCCAGGGATCGAACCTGCAATCCCTTGGTCCATAGGCTGACACTCTAAGCACTGAACTAAATCAGCTAGGGCTGTGAATGTGATTTTTAGGAAGTCTTTCGTAATTATTCTATGATAGCTGACTGAATTAGTGTTGATACCACAAAGTTAATGACTGAGTTTTTAAAATGTGAATTTTATTTATTTTTGGAATAAATAATACATTTACACGGCTCAAAATTCAAGATACAAAAAGGTATGTACTCCAGACAACCACTGTGACTGGACTGGCTGCATGTCTGGTGAACTCGTTTCTTTCCACACCTGGTGTGGCCCCTGGAATTATGACACGTTTCAAACCTGCCCACGTAGGAGTGCAGTGAGTACATCTGTAAAGCATCTCCTTCCCTTCTCTTTCTAAGATCTCCTCCAAAACCACACAATCGTTGCTGCACCCGAGAAACCCAACATTCGTAACACGGAGTTAGGTGACAGGCTGCCTACGGTGTTTTGGCCTGGAGTATGCTTTTTCACAGCTGCATACTATTCCACCAAAGACCCACGCCCCGTGTTTTAGTGTTTCACAATTAGAAACAAGGCTGTGTGTGTGATGACTCAGGATTTCTTCTCAGGTGTCCAGGGTGGAGTCATGGGTTTGAAGCTTTCAAGGCTGCTGCTGGGCTGCCAGGGGCTTCCCCACCTGCTGCCTGGCCCTGGCCCTTCCCCCTCCTCTGTCTATCATGTCTGAGGCGTTCCACCTCCTGGTGCAAATTAGTGCTGAGGGTGTATGTGCAACATCACATCCCATTTGTTGCAATTATTTCCCCTTTTAGTTTTATGAGTTTTTAACTTACAGTATTTTTACACTTTGAAGAAATAAAATCTATTTTCCTCTGGCTTTCCCACCACTTTTTTAGACAGCCCTTGCCATCCGGAAATCAGATACCATTTTACCTTCCTGCCCTGTTTTAAGATTCTTTACTGTTTTAAAAATTTATTAATTTTAGAGAGTGGGAGGGGAGAGAGAGAGAAATACTGATTTCTTGTCCCACTTATTGATGCATTCATTGGTTGTTTCTTACATGTGCCCTGACTGGGGATCGAATCCACAACCTTAGCATATCTGGATGATGCTCTAACCAACTGAGCTGCTTGGCCAGGACCTCTTCAGTCTGTTTAATGTTTACTCTGTGCACATAACCAAGCAGTGGTGCTCAGCTATGCAGTCGGGCTTCCGTCCCCTCGGCTCTGATGCTGCTTGCAGTGTGCAACCTCCCGGTGGGCCGTGCGGCTGTTCGATTCCATGCCCTTCCACCACGCTGGCCTGTTGTCCCTCCTCTCCCCAGGTCAGCAAGGGCACTGGACAGCTCAGGCCCGGAGCTCCAGAGCTGAGTGCCAATCCCAGCGATCCCTGTCACCTTGAGCAAGTTCCTTGACCTGAGTGTCACTGGGACAAACAGTGTGACCCTGCAGGGCCCAGTGAGGGCGAGGCTGTGCGTGTGAGCCTGTGAGCACGTCCGGCACCGTCAAGGCCACGTTTGTGGGACGAACATTATTTTGCAGATCCCTCCCTGCCTCCCCCCAACACATCCCAGAGGGGACTCTGACACACTGAGTTAAACACATAAATCCCTTGGAAAGGACGGTGTCTGCACAGTGCATTTACTCCTCCATCAGGAATGGCCAACACCCTTCCTTGACTCCTTGATGTCTTTGGAGAGCTTGGCCATTTCTTGACACGCGTGAGATCCTTCCAGTCCAGCCGCTCCAGGCACAGGGGTCCTGCTGTCACGGATGTGGTTTTTCCCCACACGGTGGGTTCCAGAGGGCACTTTTTTTATTCCTCACCTGAGGATATTTTTCTACTTATTATCAGATGGAGGGAGAGAGAGAGAGAGACAGAGAAACATTGATGTGATAGAGCCACATCGACTGGTTGCCTCCTGTACGACCGGACCGGGGCTGGGGCCGGGGCCGAACTGAAACTAAAGTACGTGCCCTGGACCAGAACGAAACCTGTGACTCACTGGTCCGCAGGCCAATGCTCTAACTGTGGAGCCAAACCGGTCAGGGCCAGAGGGCGCTTTGGATACTTGGTTTTGTTTCGTGGATGGAGCTTCAGCCTCAGTGGGCCTCCACGGAGACGGCCCGGCGCCCCACCTTCGGGGCGACCAGGATGGCAGGGCCGCCACCCTCAGCTGCACATAACCAAGCAGTGGTGCTCGGCTGTGCAGTCGGGCTCCCGTCCCCTCGGCTCTGATGCTGCTTGCAGTGGGCAACCTCCTGGTGGGCCGTGCGGCTGTTCGATTCCCTGCCCTTCCTCTCCCCAGGTCAGCGAGGGCATTGGACAGCTCAGGCCCGGAGCTCCAGAGCTGAGTGCCAATCCCAGACTGGTGCATATAAATGTGGAGGGGTCACGAAATCATGTCCCCCCAAACTCTCCAGGCAGTGGGGCTGGTGGGCAGGGTCTCCCACGGAGGGCCCCTTGTCACGGGTCACACGTCAGACTCAACCAGGCTTGGGAAAAGTCTCGTTTATTGCACTGCCTCAAAGCACACGGAGCATGAGGCCGGAGGACAGCGCACCGGCACTCACTGGAGTGGAGCGGCTGAGACGACGGAGTGAGGCTTGGGTGTAACCGCAGTGACGTCTGAGGGTCGGGGAGGCTCTGCTGTCCGAGGAGGTGGGCAGGGCACGGCTTTTGAAGTTGAGGAGTCGCTGGCACCCAACTTTAAGAGAAGGGTGCCATAAAAAGGAAGTGTGGAGTAAGACCTGGGATCAGCATCCTGCCCCCTGCACAGCTGGTGGCCCTGTCAGAGGACAGGGACCGCTCTCCGCCTGTGGCCGGGGGCCTGGTACACTCACCTAGTAGAAAACAGGCCCGAGTCCTGGGCCCTGGGCCGAAGGAGGCTAACACTGCTGTGAGGCAGCGTCCGTCCTACGGGGCAGCGTCCGGGAGGGAGGGCTGCGAGCCCTCCGGCTCTGATGCCAGCGAGGTGATTGGGCCACAGGCTGACCCCAGGGACTGGCTGATGTGGTCATAGCAACTGACCACAGCAGGCACGGCTTCGACCTTCTGGGGACCAACCCAAATGCCCGCTGGCAGGCCCCAGGACTGCCCCGCACACAGGGGTGACAGCCACCCTGTCGGAAGCTGCAGCTGAGGACACGCAAGCCTGGGATAGACCGTGGGAAGGAATGAAAGGCCTTCCCCTGGTTTCAGGAAATACATTTCTCTCCCAAATTTGTAACATTTGATTTCAAATGAGGTATCTTATGCAGGTTTGTAACACAACAAACAAAACAAGGCAATAATTAGGAGATCCGTCCTCTGAGGATGCTCTGGCCTCACAACGTGCACCAGCAGCATGGGCTAGACACCGCTCCGAAGACACCTCCCCAACGGCCAACACACCACGCTCCCGTCGGACGCCCTGCGCCACCTGCCTGGGGCGCGTGCGCGGCCTCCGTGTCATGCACTGGCCTTCAGTGTTGAGGCTGACAGGCTCTCTCCAGGCAGCAGCGTGCCCCGGCCTGGGTGCTGTGGCATGTCTGGGCATGTTCTCCACCCTGGCACGGCCCAGCACCCACTCTCAATCACGGCGTGGGTCCCGTCTGGACGTCTGGTGTGGAATGTGTGCTGGAACCTGTGTCCCTCCGAGAGGCGATGGGACCCTGGGATGGAGGCGAAGCCACCGTGGGAACATTCAGTGGCTGGAGAGCACTGACCTTGGGCACTAACGTGGCGGCCTGCGGTGGCTCACAGGTGTGTCCCCTGACCTGGCTCTGCCTCGTCCTGCCCACGGGGGGCCCCCGCACCGTCCCCGCAGTGGGCGCACGGTGGTGAGAACGTGACGCAGCACATGGTAACAGTGCGTGACCTGGCAGCAGCACCGCCCTACACGGAGACGACCGCACAGGGGTCAGAGGCGCTGCTGCTCTAGCAACGGCTCCGGTCACTCGGCCGAGGCTGTGGGTTCTGGAACAAGACAGAAACAAACACGGGTGAAAGCAAGTGTGGGGCGGTCAACGTGACCAGACCTGTCTGCACAAGAGCTGATGAGGCGTGTCCAAGAGGGAGCGATTCCGACACCGACTGTCCACCGCACGCCGCAGCTTCCCCCTCCCGAGCGACCGCGGGCTCCTTCAGATGACCTCCCACTCGTCCTCCAGGTCCTCGGGGTGCGGGGGCGCGGCCTGGCTGCTCTGGGCGCCGTGCGAGTGGCTGAAAGTCCTTGTCAGCCGCTGGAGGAGGTAGCCGGGGGGGCCCACTGCCCACAGCTCATCTGACGAGGTCACTGCAGGGACAAGAGCCAGCCACACACTCGTCAGTCACCCCGCTGGGGGGGCGGGAGGGAGTCAGGAGCTGGTCCACGTGCAGACGTGGCCCTTCCTAGCGGTGGGGGCCCGACACACCCATCTGTGCCTCAGTCTCCTTGGCTTTAAAGCCGGCGGCCCAGGGCCCTGTCCCCTTCCTAGGAGCCCGACAGAGCTGGGGCGCCAGAGTCCCTCCCGCAGGTGTGACCCAAGGCGGCTCCTCCGGGGAGGGAACCCGTGGGAGCAGCCTCTGTGACAGCCCCACTGACGGGCCGGGGCTGAGAGGCGGGAGGCCTGCGCGGCGCAGAGCTGACACCTGCCTGTGAGGCACATGGCGCTGCCCGGGACCCTCTTCCAGTAGTCTCCCGCGGGGTTCTTGTCGCTGACGCCGTACCGCCGGGCCAGGTCGCCGTTGGGGCAGCGGGCCCACACGGTCCGGGCGCTGAGCGCCAGCTGGCAGGCCTGCAAGCCTGAGGGCGAAAAGGGTGTCCATCTGTCCTCAGATCCCAGCTGCGGTGGGAATGACCACCCCTTCCCAAGAGCCTGCTCTCTCCTGACACTGCGCCTGCCAACCAGTGTCCCCATGGTGACAGTGCCCTTACTGGGCTAGGCTCGGAGCGGAGGGGAAGGAGGCCCGTCAGCAGGGCTCCCAAATTGCGGAGAGTCGGGACTGAAGGACAGAGGCCCAGACAGGGTAGACACGGAGACCGCGCAGTGCCTGAGCCTCCCCTGCCCTGCGCGTGGCGCCGGGGTCAGGCTGCAGCGGCAACGTGAGAAACAAACAAAAAGCCACGACCACGCCACAGAGGGCTCCAGCACGTGGGCTGGGCCCCTCGAACGAGGACTTAGTCATGCCCGTCCCTGCCCCAGGAGGGCAGCAGAAGCAGACAGCCCTGAGTGTGACAACTGTGGCTGTGTGCCTCGACAGAGTCCCCTGTGGCCTGCCCACCTCTACCTGGCACGTGGTCCCAGTCGGTGCCCACTGGCATCTCCTCGGTGATTCCCACGCGCACGTGCACGTTGCACCTGCTGTCGAGGGCCCACAGCATCTGGTCATTGGGGTTCGAGTGCACGCTGACCAAGGTGACCCCGGCAGGCTGGAGGCAGAGGGGAAGGAGTGGTGGGTGCATTATTTTTGGACAGAACAAGGTTGAGGGGTAGGGAGAACTGAGGTCAGTGACACAGCAACAAGAGATTCTAGAAACTTCCACTGACTCCTGCTTGCTAGCCTACCAGCCACTTAGCCACCCCTCATCTACCCAGTGCCGGCCCACATGTCACCACCCACACACCCGCTCATGCCTCCACCTTCTATCCACTGCCCACCCACCCACCCAACAGACATTTACTTGAGCATCTACCACATGCCAGGCACTGTGCCGGGAACTGGGAATCAATTTTCTTGGCTCCTGTATTTTAAAGTCTGGTGACAGGCCCTTAATCAAATAGACACACAAAGAAATACCAGGACACCAGAGGACACAGGTGGACGAGGCACTGAGACCACACAACTGGGGTCAGACCCAGAGGTCAGGGAAGTCGCATGGAACATGCGGAAGGCTTCCCGGCTGAACTGAGGACTTGGTGGAGGGCGGACGGGCACAGCACCCTGGCTTTGGAGGTCCACAGGGTTAAGCTGGAGGCACTAGGGTGACAAGGCAGCAGAGGATTTCACAAATGTCACCCACCCTCCCGCCCGCCCCAGAGCTCCTGAACACGGCCCCAGGAGCGCTGCTTCACAGACGTCAACCGGAACAGTCCCAGTGACCTCGCTCCAGTGGTCAAGCAGGGCCGAATGGGCTGAGCAGCCGCAGTCTGTGGAGGATGCTCTGCACCCACACGGCCGTTTTCAAACTAGGACCCTCGCTCTTGCTGAACCCCAGCCCCCTGAGTAAGAGCAGCCTAGCAGTGCTCGAACCCTGGATCCTGGGACTCATGGAGCAGCTGCTCCACGGCCCGTCTGGGGCTGGAGCCAGTCCTCACGCATCAGCCTTTGGGGCTGGGGCCCAGAAATGATCCAGACAAGCACCCCGAGTGGCTCTGATTCAGACAGGAGCTAGGCTGTGCACTGTGTCAAGAAGCAGGTGAGGCGGACCACACAGCGGCCATGGATCTCAGTGCGTCTCCACACCACCCCAGCTGGTACTGCGGCAGGAATGGGAAAGCTGATCCTAAAATTCACACGGAATTGCCAAAACAATCTTGAAAAGGAACAAATCTGGAAGCCTCACATTTCCTGATTTTGCCAGAGTTGCTCAGTGGTTAGAGCATTGACCACGTACCAAGGAGTGGCAGGTTCAATCCCGGCCCGTCAGTGTGTGTGGGAGGCAACCAACTGATTGATATGTCTCTCTCACATTAATGTTTCTCTCTCTTCCTCTTCCCCTCTCCCTTCCACTCTCTAAAATTCAATGGAAAAAATATCCTCGAGTGAGGATTAACAAAAACAAAAAAACTATTTTGTAGCTACGGTGATCAAACAGTGTGGCCTGGACTAAGGATAGACACGTAAGTCAATGGAAGGGAACGGGGAGCCCATAAATAAACGCAGTCAAGTGGTTTTTGACAAGGCTGCCAACATCATTCAGTGAGAAGAGAACAGTCTCTTCAACAAATGGTGCTGGGACAACTGGACACCCACCTGCAGAAGATGAGGCCCCTACTTCACATCACATACCAAATTAACTCAAAATGGATCAAAAATAAATGCAAGAGCTGAATCTGACAATGCTTTCTTAGATATAAAACCAAAGGCATAAGTAACACAAAGAAAAAGATAAACTGCACTTCATCAAAATAAGTAACTTGCACCTCAAAGGACACCCATAAAGAAAAGCAAAGAGACAACCCTTAGAACGGGAGAAAATATTTCCAAACCATGTATTCAATAAGGGTCTAGTATCCTGAATAAATAAAAACTTTAAAATCCAACAACAAAAAAGAAAACAACCGCATTTTTAAAGGGCAGAGGACTTGAAGAGACATTTGTCCAAAGACGTGCCACGCCAACAAGCACAGGGGAAGGTGCGCATCGTCCTTCACTGCCCTTCGGAAACGCAAATCAGAAGCACAGAGCACCACCTCCTCGCACCCACTAGGATGTCTGCAAAGAGAGAATGGAAACGAGCGTGGGAGAGGATGGGGAGAAACAGGAACCCTCATCCACTGCTGGTGGGAAAGTGAAAGGGTGCAGCGTGGACAACAGTCTGCGGGTCCCCAAAGGTTCAACAGAGTTGCCATGTGACCAGCCATCCCACTCCTGGACATACACCAGAAGAACTGGAACGGATGTTCAAACAAAAACTGCACGCAAGTTCACAGCAGTAACATTCTTCACGATAGCCAAAAGGTGGGAGCAACCCAAATGCCCATCCACGGACGCATGAATACACAAAGTGTGGCATATCAGTGTACAGACTCACCTTGGACACATCCCAGGTCCGACCCAGAGACCTCACAAAGCAAATGTGACAATAAAGGGAGTCACATGAAATTTTTGGTGTTCTAGGGCATAGAAATGTTGTTTATACTTCACTGTAGCCTATTAGGTATGCAACAGCATTATGTCTATTGAAAAAAGACAATGTTCATATACCTTCATGAAAAAATACTTTGTTAAAAAATGCTAACCACAGCCTGAGCCTTCAGCGGTGGTCAGTGCGGCGGGGGGAGGGCCTCGCTCGACGTGCACGGAGAGCAAGCGCAGTGAGTTCTGCCTGCAGGGGGTGTCGCTCAGCCACAGGAAGGAGGCAGGACTGGCCTGGCAGCAGGGCGAGCCTCGGAAACATGGCGACGTGAGCGCAGCTGGTCCTGGAAGCCACAGGTTCTGTGACTCCATTTACCTGACACGCGCAGCAGGAAACCCATGGCGAGGAAGCAGGTCAGTGGTTGCCCAGGGAGTTGGGGGGATGGGAGGAGCATGGGGAGTGACCGTTGGGTGCAGGGCTTCCTTTGGGGGGTGATGAGAATGTTCTGAAACTAGATGGTGATAAATGCTGCACAACAGTGTGAACAGACTAGTGCCACTACTGGGAATTTTATGTTATGTGTATTTTACCACAGTTTTTTAACAAAGAGAAAGCTGATGTGCCTTGTTCCATTAAGGTGTATGAGCACTGTCTTACCCTGTCCTACTGCTCTGCAAGATGTCATCATGGGGGCGGGGGGCTGGGCCAAGTGTGCATGGGACTCTATTATTTCTTAACAAGGGAATCAACAATTAACTCTATAAAAATTTCAATTACCAAACAGGTCAGCAGCCTAAATTTTTGGCTTATTCAGCCCTGGCCAGTTTTGCTCAGCAGTTAGAGCCTCAGCCTGTGGATCAATGAGTCGTGGGTTCGATTCCGACCAAGGGCACGCACCTCGGTTGCAGTTCATCCCCAGCCCTGGTCGGAGTTGTACGGGAAGCAACCAGTCGATGTGTCCCTCTCACATCGATGTTTCTCTCTCTCTCTCTCTCTCTCTCACTTTCTCTCCCTCCCTTTCTACCTGCAGATAAATAGAAAAATATCCTCAGGTAAGGATTAAATAATTTAATTTTTTTGGCTTATTCATACTCAAAACTTCATAAAAACTTAAAAGAATGAAGGATGGCACTTACAAAATGAAGTCAATAAGGAACTTATGATTTAAAAATCAGTTGGAGCCTTGGCCGGTTTGGCTCAGCGGTTGGAGCGTCGGCCTGCGGTACAGAGAGACCCGGGTTTGGTTCCCGCTAAGTGCACGTACCTCGGTTGCAGTTTGTCCCCGGCCCTGGTTGGTCGTGAGGGTGGCAGCCACTCGATGTGTCCCTTTCACGACGATGTTTCTCTCTCTCTCTCTTCCTCTCTCTCCCTCCCGCTCTATCTGAACAAAAAATGGAAAAATGTCCTCGGGTGAGGATTAAAAAAAAATAAATAAATAAAAATCAGTTGGAAATGGTAAAAAATTATGTATAGTCGGGTGTGCTTCTGAAGACTGCGTGTGTGTGCATGCCTGTACGTGTGTGTGGGTGTGTGGCTGCACCTGCTCCTGCTTATTAAGTGCCCTTTAAAGAGTCACAGGGAAGGTGATGGGAAGGGAGCCACACCTGTTTGCAGAAATGCCCAGCAATTTAATTACAGCCACCAACATGCTTTGATCTTCACAAATCAAAGGGGTGCTCTCAGCTGTAAGTTTCCCTCAAACAAGACCTCCCGGGGGTAAAAAAGACCAAGCTGCCGCCTCCTGTTCTCCACAGACAGACGCCCACTACCACTTATTGTGAACAGGGAAGAGCACGTTTGTGGAGTCCAGGCCACCAGCATTACAGGATAAACCATTCCTCCTTCCCAGCAGTCAAGAGCCCCTCCAGCCTGGCCGGTGTGGCTCAGTGGCTGAGCGGCGACCTAGGCACCAAGAGGTCGCTGGTTCGATTCCTGGTCAGGGCACATGCCCAGGTTGTGGGCTCGATCCCCAGTGGGGGGCGTGTAGGAGGCAGCCAATCAATGTTCTCTCTCATCCATATTTCTATCTATCTCTCTAAAATAAATAAAGAAAAAAACTTTTAAAAAAGAGCCTTTCCAGATAGCATTTAATTTTTTTTATCCTCACTAAGGACATTTTTCCATTTATCTTCAGATAGAGTGGGAGGAGGAAAGACACACACACACACACACACACACACACACACACACAAATTGGCTGCCTCCCATGTGACCCCAACCGAGGCTGTGGACTGAACCACAACCCAGGCACATGCCTTTGACCAGAATTGGACCCGTGATTCTTCTGTCTGTGAGCTGATGCTCTAACCACTTAGCAAAATGGCCAGGACAACAGCATTTACTTTATACACTGAGATGTTGACTAGACAAGTTAAGGAATGACGTTTTCACGTGACGGACTATTTCTAAACTTCCCGAGGCCCTGCTGCTGTGCACACGGGCCGCCCGCCTGCCCGGGGCCCACAGTGCGTCCTCGGGGGGAGAACTCATCTTAGCTGCCAGGTGTGGAAACGCTGCTCAGCTCAGATGACGTGAGTTCGAGATGGGACACGGTCTGTGTCCTGGACGAGACGCGCTTGTTTCTGTTTCGGATCCCGGGGTTATCATCTAGTACATTCCCCCCAGAACTC